GCCGCCCGGCGGCGGGGCGTGGAGAGCTCGGGGCTGTTCCTTGGGCGGGAGGCAGCGTCACATGTGTGCCCCGCCTCGCACGGCTGCCTTGCAAGCGGCCCGAACGGCCGGCCCCAGGCAGGTCCGCCACTCGCCGCTCGCCCGTGCCCGGTGCCCCCTCGCCTCCCCTCCCTGGGCCCCGCAGGACGTCAAGCTGCCCTCCATCTCCGGCACCGTCATCGCCAACTCCAACCTCAACCTGCTGGGCATGGGAGCCACCATCCTCTCCCTGCAGGTGCGCCGCCCGCTCTTGCAGCGGCGACAGCTGCCACACCACCGGCGCGGCACGCGCTGCGCTCTACCAAGGCTCTGCCTCCCAGCCACGCTCGCCTGCTGCGCCGGCCACCCTCCCCAGTCACCGCAAGCCCTCGCCACCCGGTGCAGGCGATTGTGGGCAACCTGGTGGCCAAGACTCTATCCAGCGCCTCTGCCGGCGCCTACTACGGCGCGCAGCGGGTGGCCGCCCCGCCCGTGGCCTTTGACGTGTTCAGCGTGCAGGCCTGCACCAACACCATCATGGCCCACTTTGTGGGCATGCTGTTCAGGTGGGGTGGCAGGCGGCTGCCCGCGCCTCGACCTGGCGTCCGCCCAGCAGCAGGCTGCCACCACAACCCCACGTGCCACGACTTCCACACCCCACCACATGCTTCCTGCACACCCGCCCCCTGCAGCAACTGGATCCTGCTGGTGGTGAACAAATACAACAAGCGGCAGCAGGAGCGGGAGGCGGCGTTTGCGGCGGACAGCGCGCCGTCGGCACCCCCCATGCCAGGCTTCCAGTACTGAGCGGTACCGGTCAGTACTCATGACCGGCCGCAGGCCACCCGGGCCTGCGCCTCCGCCGCCGCTGCCGCTTGGCCACCGCATGCTCTCCCACGTTGATCTGATTGCCCTGGCCCCTTCTGGGCCTGTTTTTTATTTCATAACCGCTCAAGTGGCTCATCACTGTACAGCTAGTGCCTGGCCGCCCATTCGAACTGATCAGACTTGCATCGACACAATTCTGCAACACATTCCTCTAACCTGGAGGAGAAAACAAACAAGTCTTCTTTCCGCCGGGGGCTGAAATCATAACAACCGCTGTTTCCTCACCGCGCCCGCTGAGCTTCCTGCGGCTGCCTGCTGCGCCGCCTTGCACGCCGCCTTGTGGGACGGCCACGCCGCCACTTGGCACCCCTTGCTGCAATACCTGGCGGCCCGGCAGCCGGTGCACCGCTTCAGGCCCGACGACGGCAGGCCGCAGGCGTCGCAGGTGGGCGTGCCCTCGTGCCGCTCCAGCGCCTGCTGGGCCTGCTGCATCCGCTCCGCCAGGCCGTCCCGGGCGATGGCGGCCTGCCAGCGTGCCGGGGAGCGCCGCACGTGGTGGCGGATGGTGGCCAGCACCGGCGAGCACATCGCCTGCTCCTCCCTGAGCTTCGTCAGCCAGCGGTGGGGCACGATGCACTTGCAGCGCCGCAGGGCCGCGTCGGCCTCGTCAAACATCTGCTGGGCTTTTAAGGGGCTGGCCGCCGGGTTCTGGTCGGCCGTGGCCACCATGGCCGCCATCCAGCCACACCTGCACAGGCAACATGCAGCACCGCGCGACGCCATCAACCGCCCCGGCGATGGGCTTGGGCTTGCACAGCTTGCGGCAAAGCACAGCCAGCAGCACACAGGGGGTCAAACTTCTGCGAGGGCAGCAACACCCGAGGCGGCGCAGCCCCTGTAGCCCACCAGGCGATCCACAGGTCGCTGCCCTGCTGACGAGCCAGCTCCAGGCCGCGCACCATGTGCAGCTGCGGGTCGCGCAGCGAAGAGGGCGCGCCCTCGCTGCTGTTCACCACGGCCGCGGAGCCCATCAGGTAGTGGCTGCGCGGGTGCGTGGGCTGCAGCGCCAGCATGCCGCGTGCCCACTGCTCGATGGCGGCGGTCTGGGCCGGCGTGGGCGCCCGCGCATTCAGCGTCACTGCCAGCTCCTGGGCCAGCAGCTGCCACACCGCCTACAGCGGCGCCAGCGAGGGCAGGCTCCCAGGCGCCGGCTGCAGGGCTCCGGCGCCGGCGCGCCGTTGTTGCCACGGCACTCCTCCTCCAGCTCAGCCAGCTGCCTCGTCAGCTCCGCGGCGCCGCGCTGCCCAAACAGGGCGTGCTTGACAGCGTGCAGCACGTCAAAGCCCACTTGGAACTGCTCCAGGCCGGGGAGCTGCGCAACCAAGGCCAGCAGCAGCGCACGCGCCACAAGGGCCAGGTCTGCCCGCCCGCCGGGCAAGCTGCCCATGGCGATCATGTGCAGCAGCACCGGCTGCAGCTGCAGCTGGATGCGGGGCCCCGCCGCTGCAGCCTGCATCAGCGGCGGCAGCTGCGGCCCAAGCCACCGCAGCGTGGACTTGGGGTGGAAAGGGTCCAGCGGGGTGTCGCAGCGGGAAGCCGCCAGCATGCGCAGCAGCGCGCCGCCAGCGCAGGTTTGCCACCGGCTGGCGCCGACAGCGTGGTGCCTGGCTCGGCTCGCGGGAGCAGGGCAAAGGCGGCCTCCAGCACATCGTGGCACCGCAGCCACTGCCGCACGTCCTGGCTGCGCTCCTCCTCTGGCACCGCCAGTGCCCTGGCCAGGCATTCGAAGTAAAACTCGGCGCCAGGGGTGGGCACTTCCTCCATTGCGAGTGTGGGCTGGGCCTGCAGGCGGCACAGCAGCTACGGCGGGAAACGGGAGCGGGAGGCGGGAGCGGGAGCCACCACCGCCAGGCTCCGCAATCAAAACCCATTCCTGCCCTGCCGCTTCGCATGCTCCTCGCACGCCTCTGGACCTGCTGCACACGCCCTGTGGCGCGATGATTGGGAAGCGCTCACCCACCTCTCTCGAACCGCAGAAGAAGAAGAAGAAGGTAGCGTGTCGCGGTGAGGAGCGCAGGGATCCCGAGCAGATCAGGGGCAGGTATTGAGGGAAATTCACGCCACGCCCGGGCTGTTGGCCCGCCGCCACGTTGGCCCGCCCGTCTTTCCTTGCCCGACTTCTGCCGCACAAAGCGCTCAGCGCGAAAAAGCTGGCGCCTGGGAGTCTCTACTGGATGACATACCCAATGCCCGCTCCTCTCTCGTGGTGTGACGTCCATTTATGGCGTACAAGGAATCGTGCCACCGAATGGGAAGCAACGCAGGCAGGAAACACAGGCGGGGAGAGGGAGCGAGCAAAGGACAAGCAAAGCGCAGAACAGAGCTGCAAGATGAGGCAAGACGGCGGGGCTGCCAGTCAGCTGGGCAGGCATACCTTGCCGTCCCCCAGGCAGTTGAGGCAGCGCTGCAGCCGCGTGGTGCCGCACCCTGGGCAGGCACAGTGCACCACGCCGCCTGCCTCCCCTCCCTCGCCCGCCGCCGCCGGCCTGCTTCGCCGCCGCAGCTGCTTGAGCGACACGGGCTGCCGGCAGCGAATGATGGCCTTGCCTGCGGGCCAGCAGGGACATGCTGAGAGTTGTGTACGCATTCAGAGAGGCGCTACGCTGCCCCCGGATCGGCAGCTAGTGTTGCAGGAAGGCATCTATGTCAGGCGGGCTGGCAGCGAGCGAGCAGCCTACCCACCCATGCATACTTGGCAGCTCATGAAGCCGCTGGCGTCACAGACTGAGCACTTGGTTGCTACTGCCATCTGCACGCATTCAGGAACAGGCCAATAAGAGTGTCGTGCAGGCGCAAGCAACCGCAGCATGCTACCAGCTCTGCCCCACCTTGCGGTGCCGCAGGACGCGCTTGGCGACTGACAGCGCCACGCCGCTGACCGCGCCCGTGACGAACGTGAGGGTCACAAAGGTGCCAGCTCCCGCACCCACAGCTGTGAGCAGGGGCGAGCGCATGGTGTCGCGAGCGGCGGCGACGGGCGGCGGCGGGGAGGTGCCGGCGGGGTGAGCGGAGCCCAACGGTAGTATGTATGCTGCGCAGCTGCAATTCCGGTTATGGTGGAGGAGACAGCTGCAAAGCTGCCAAACTCTTGGCAATATCGACGAAAGCACCCAGCGGCCTGCCACAGTGATGTGGATGCAGTTTTACGTCAATTGGGGTGAGGGAGGCCGCTCCCAACGCCTCTAGATGCTCTGGCAGCGATCAAGTGGCACCGTGGCGGCGAGATCTCAAAAACGCGACGTCTCAGCCATCGCCCTTCTTCACAGTTGCCCATCAGCGGCACTTGCACCTACCAATTGACCTGTAACGGCGATGGTGCTGACACGGTCGATGGGCCCTGGCCATCAGGGGCCCGGCTTCCTGGGGCGGCACAGCAACATATATGTCTACGTCCCAAACCTGATAGGTGCGCCCGCAGCTGCAGGGCTGGCAGCATGCTGCCCACCGCACCAAGCCGCCGCCCGCCCGCCTCTGCCAACCTTGCCGCCCTCACCGCTCTGCGCAGGCTATGCTCGCGTGGCTGCGGCGGTGTTTGCCTTTGGCGTCGCGCTGCGCGACCCCGGCGCCTGCGTGCTGGCCTACTTTGCCAGCTTTGTGTGCGACGAGCTGGACGGCCGCTTTGCCCGCAAGTTCAACCAGTGCTCCACCCTGGGCTCGGGTGAGGCGGCTGCGGGGCGGCAGGGCAGCCCTCAGGTGGCAGCTGCTGGCAGGAAGGCATGGCCTCGTGCGCGGCGCTGTGGCTTTCACACAGTTGTCCCTGCGCTTGCTGCGCGCCGCCCCTGCACGCCTTGCTCCTTCACCGCCCACGCTCTTGAGCACTCTCCCAAGTACTCTTCCACGCCTGCCTGCGCGCCCCCCCCCCCCCACACCCACCCACCCACCCACCCACCACCACCACACACACACACACACACAGTCCTGGACATGGTGACCGACCGCGTGGCCACCACCTGCCTGCTGGCGGTGCTGGCGGTGCGCTACCCAGCCGCGCACCTCCCCTGCCTGCTCCTCATCATGCTCGACATCTCCAGGTGGGTGGGGGGCCCTCCAACAGCCGCCGCCCGCGCCACGCCCGCTGCCGCCACGCAGCGCTGCCTGCCGCTGCCACTGTGATTCGCTGGCGCTGGTGCCGGCTGGCCCCCTGCGCGCCGCGGCGTGTTCCCGCCGATGTCCTGGCAGCTGCTCGGCCGCCGCCAGCCTGCTGTTTCCTCGACCAGCGCGCACCTTCCACCCCCATCCCCGGCCTCCCTGCCTGCAGCCACTGGTTCCAGATGTACAGCACTCTGGCCATGGGGTCCGCCACGCACAAGGTGTGGGCCAGGGATGGGGCTGGTGGCATGGGGGGGCGCGGCAGGCGCCATGCACGCTTGGGATGGTATCGATGCTCTCCGCCCCCAAGCTCCCCGCCCTTCCCCGCCATGCATTGCCCCGAATGCAATTCCACCCTCCCCGGGCTCACCTACCCCTCAGCATTCGCTCCCAACGCTGGCTTGCGCCCCCACCCTTCCCCCCCAACTCGTGCAGGACACCAACAGCCGCAGCTTTGTGGTGCGGGCATACTACCGCAGCCGCTTGTTCATGGGCTTCTGCTGCATCTGCTGCGAGGTGCTGTACCTGGCGCTGTACCTGCTGAGCTGGCGGCAGTACCAGGCGCCCGCCCTGGCGCTGCCCGCGCTGCTGCAGCGGCTGCCTCTGCCCCAAGGTGCGGCAAGCTGTTTGATGGCGGTGGCAGCTTCTGGGCAGCCCGGCCGGGTGCCTGGCTGCGTGCTGTGCTTGGCTACCTCATCCCGCATGCTGCACCACGGTGGATGCATGCATGCGTGCGTGCGCACACCGCATTTTCACCCGGCAGATGCATTGCCATGGCTGGCAGCGCTGATGCGCCCCCTATCGCTTGCCCCCGCAGGCCTGCGCCTGCCGGCCAGCATCCCCGCAGCCGCCGTGATGGCGCTTGTCGCGCTACCGGGCTTTGCCGTGAAGCAGGTGGTCAATGTGATACAGCTGCGCACCGCGGCGCAGCAGCTGGTGCGGTTTGACCAGCAGCAGGATTCCAGAAAGGCAAAGCGCTGAGGTGGAGCCGCCAGAGTAGTGCCGCCGCCATCCACCCGATCCGTGCTCCGGCCGCAGCTGCAGCCCCGCAGCGGGAGCTCAACCGGTTTTTGCTTGATCCTGCTTGAATGCTTGAAACTGCAACACTGAGGCTGGGCTATATTTGCCTGAGGGGCGCACCTGCATGCTGTTGCCCTGGTCTGCCCTGGGCTAGCCTGGCAGACCACCATCCTTCACGGGATGCTGCAGAACGCCTGGCTCATGTAACAGCACTGAGCTGGCCTGTGGTGCATGTGGCGCATGTGTGCATGTGGCGCATTGCGTGCCTGCCTGCCGTGTCCTGCATGCAGTCCCGCCGCTTGCAGCCTTGCAACCCACCGTGCAAACCCCGCGCCCTTGTCCTCCCACGTTGTTTCATCTTCGCGAACGGCGCGCAAGGGGTGGGCGGGCGCGCTGGCAGACGTGGCTCGAGTCGTGTACGGTGCGAGCACGCTGCCCAGCTGCCTGATATTAAGATAGCTGCTGCCAACAACCATGCTGCCCAGCATGCTGCCCAGCATGCCCCCCTGCGTGCCCCTGCGTCTCCCTTCTACATCCCCTGCTACCGATGGCATCCCGAGGTGTGCGGCGCTGCTCGCCGCCCATGCACATGGGCAGGCACGCGGCTGCACGGCGCGGTGGTGGCCAGCCAGGTGGTGGTGCCCCCAGCCGTCACACTGGTCACCCAGGCTGCAGTGCTGCTGCTGACGCGGAACAGCAGCGCCTACTGTGCCACGCGGGTAGGTGGCATGGGGTGGCAAGGGGGCCGTGTTGGGTGGCAGCAGAGCCAGTCGAGCCCCCATGGCGGTGCGCCGCGTGGATCATTTCCACCTGCATGCATGTCCCGCGGATCCTGCCCACCGCCGGTACCACATCGCTTATACAATTATGTAACGGTACAGATCCACGAGGGCCGCTATGCCGCCCTCGCTCAACGCCGCCACCCCGTCCTGCAGCTGCTCCGGGACCCGCTGACGCGCCAGCGGGCGTGGGGGCTGGCCACCTGGCTGGAGTATGCCTTTGCGCTGCCCAGCTACCTGCTGCTGCCTGGGTCAACCGCAGCGCACCTGCTGAAGACCTCCATCCTCAATGGTGGGTAGCCAGCCGCCTACAAGGTTGCCTGTGGGCCCAGTGCGGGGCAGCAGGATGATGCCGAGTCGCTGGTGTCACGCCTGCCCTGCCCTACATGGCGCCCCACCCCGGGGCCCCATGTGCAGGCAGCGCCCCCGGCGACGAAATCTGCCGTGCTAGCGTCGCTTTCGTGCGATGCGTGGCCGGCGTAGTGCTGCCCACGCTGTATTCCCTGCATGTGTGGGAGCCGCCCTCGCCGCGGCGCCCAGCCGTCAGCCGACGCGGCGGCACAAGAACAGCAGATGCGACGCCTGCTGCTGGCGGGGCTGGCGCCCTGCCCCCGCATGTGTGGCTCACACAGCAGTTGCAGCACTGGCAAAGCTGCGCTGCACGGGCGGTAGCTGGCGCCAGCGCGGCAATGCATTGGGCTGTTTGGGGCGCCGGCAACGAGCAGCCCCCCCTGGTGCCGTGCCCAGTGGCGCTCTTCTGCTCCCTGGCGCTGTGCTGGCTGTACTGCAAAACGGAAGGGGGGCTGTGACTGTGATGCCTTCATCATGGATAATGCCCCAAAAAGCACTGACAAGGCATGCCTGTGTGGCTGGGGCTCATGTCAGCTCCTGTAGGCACACTGGGGATAAGCAAGGTGTGTCCCGGGACAGTGCCCCTGCAGCGCATGCGCCAACACCGCCGGCGCCACGCTGTGGCATGCTGCCCACAAACGCCTGCTAGATAGGCCCCGACCATCCTTCCAACGTTCACATCGCCATCTTCCCCAAAAACGCCGGTCGCGAGGAGCCTTTGTAGCTGTGTCGCGAACCGCTGGCTGTGCGCCGTCCTGCTTTCCTGCACCCTGCCCGCGGCCCTCCATGGGGGTGGTTGAGCTGGGCACTGCCTCCCTGATTGGGGAACTGTTACACACGCTGCAGTAGTGGAGGCAGGGTAGGGTGTTCTGCCGAGGCATGGCATGTGCTTGCGTTCCGCCGCGGCGCGCAGCCAGGCATTGCAGGTTGTCCTCTCGCCCGAGCTACGCGAGCAAGCAGCTGGAGAAAATGAAAGGTGAAGAGGGGAAAGCAATTAAAAAAGTCGAGGAGGCAAACAAGCGTGTTTTTGACATTTTTTCGGCCAGGAAACCTCAAATTCTTGACCGGTGACCTCAGGCATTTGCCTCCACTTCGGAGAAGCGTGGAGAGCTGCCATACATGTATTCTTCGAACCTTCGAACCTACAGCGGTACACAGAGCGGTACATGGCAGTACTATGTATATAGAACGCTGGGTTTATGCGGCATACACAGGCACAAACTTCGCTCCAACCACCCCGCCAACGCGTCACGCCGCGACGTCGCCGCCACCGCCTCCAGCACCCGCAACGCAAGCACAGCGAAGAAGCCATGCTCCTCACCTCGCCCACGCTGCCGTAGCAGATCTGAGTGCGCTGGTCGTGTTTGTCCACCACCACATCCAGGCCGCTGACGCACAGGCCGTCGCAGGACGACGCGCCGCCGGCCTTCTCCACCAGCAGCGCCAGCGGGGCCACCTCGAAGAGCAGGCGCAGCTTGGCCTTGGTGGAGGGGGAGATGACGTTTGTGAACACGCCCTTCTCCTTGACGATGATCTGGAAGACGTCGGGGACCTGGCAGTGGGGGCAGGGAGGTACAGGGCAGGGGTGAGAGAGGGGCGTGTGGGGGCGGCACGCGCGACGGAGCCATTCAGGGTGGGCGCTGCAGGGCGCTGAGGAGCTGGGCAGCAGCAGCAGCAGCAGCCCAGCTCGAGTCGCAGCAGGCCAGCCTGCGCGCAGCAGCCCCGCAGGGCGCCGCCTCACCATGCCGCCTGTGTACCGCAGCGTGTACTTCTCGCCGAT